GTCGGACTCACGTCAAGGTGACCCTCTCCGACCTTCGCCTAATCCAAGGACACGGAAGCAAGATTCGCAATTTTCAATCTCCCTCTTTCAATGACGAAATTAGAAACACATTCTTATTTGTTATCTTTATTTCACGTGTAAAAGAACATAACAAAACTAATATCGGACTATATATTTTTGAAGTAAAAAAAAAAAAAAAAAACATTCAAGTTATTTGTTGAAACTTGCATACGCGAAGAATTGCTTCTATCGTACATCTTTGTTGAAAAATAAAAAATGTAAATTTTACTCTGCAATTTTACTCTCCTCGACTCAAGATCACGGTCAATGCGATGGAAATGGTAAACCACGACCTTTATCGGCTGGGAGATCTCATCGCGATCTACAGTCTAGCGAACGTCTACGTGCGGTTAATCGATCGATCGCACGCCATCGATGAGACGTGATGTTCGATCATAATGCAATTCGCACCTCCTCGAGCAACTTAGAAACGCGAACAATACAACGTAAAACATGAACAAGGCACACAAGGTGAGCGAGAAGAAGAGAAAAAAGTAAAGATCAAAGGTCAAAGGCGAACTTACTTCAACCTACTTGAACAGGCAAAGATCAAAGATTAAACTGGTTCTTTTTAATATGCCCACGAGGCCAAGCATTCTTGTGACAATCTTAAACACTTGTTCATAAATCTCGCCTATTCGAGAGATGACAATTTTATCAGTATAATTAGCTGACATGACTAGATCATTAATTAGATCATTAACTAACGTAATTTTATAAATAATTATAAATAATATAAATTAATTATTAAATCATTATACAAAACAACAATATTAAAAACAACAATATTGAAAACAATATTGAAAACATCAAACTTATAATTTGGAATTTTTTTCAGTTTAAATTATCCAAATATTTTTAACACTGTAAATCCCTCAAAAATAATAAAAACCGTAGCTTTATATCACGCTTGTAATAATCCTAAACATTTAAACTTTAGTAAAACGTCCATTGAGATATTTAAATATTTGAATTTATAAATATTATAAAGGAATTAAGTTTTTATTAATTCAAGAATTCAATTTCAGTTCACATGGAGAAATCAAAGTCTAATTTTACAAAATAGAATTTTTCTGATATCTAAATCTAAATTTATACTGATGATTTAATTGCAAACGGACCCGGCAGGAGTCTGCGCTTCCATTCGCATAAAATGGATCATCAACCACAAATCGCTTCAACCTGCCAGAATCACATTTATTTTCGTCCACCGGCAAAAGCTGATGTGGGAGCAATTGCAATCTTTTATAAAATACACCCATACATTGAAGATCTCGTGGTAGCGCTGTCAAATGTATTTTTTCGTACCAAAAGAGAACAAAAAGAGACAATGAGACAGAAAAAGAAACTCGTCTCACTAGCAACGGAATTCACGATTGGTGAACAGTTCATCGGACCGTCAGTTTGCGATAACTTGTCTAATCGGTGAACTTTCTGCCCGGGCCCTCGTGTTCATTAATTAAGAAGATCAATCGTGGTTATTTCTCCCTTTTAGCTTAACAAATTATTTCTTTTGTGCAGACTCCATTAATTTTGTACAATAATCACTGGCTCAAACAGGAAGCCTAGTGTTTAATCTCTTCTGTGAAAATTTAATTGCCATTTTACTTTAAATGTCCATTTAAATGTCCATTTTTATTTTACTCTGACATCTGAAAACGATTCAAATCTTTTAAACGATTTTCTGTCAATGTCATCTCATGACATTACCAATATTAAAATCGGAGCACTCGCATTGCAACACGGCCATGTCAGATGGTAATGCCGATATAATCAAGCAAATTGTCAGAACGAGCTCTTAAGAAGCAAACTCCCCACAGAGCGAATCATATCGTTGTGTCGATCTACACAAACCTTATATGTTGTATTCACCCCCAACTGAGGGGGGTTAATAGCTACAAACAAACGTGAGATGGAAAGAGGCTCTTTTTAAGAGAGTATCAATGCCTTTATACTTTTAATTTTTATTTATTTTATTTAATTACTATTAATAAAATTAAATATTATATTTTTAAATATTTTTAAATATTTAAGCATTTGAAGAAATTTAATTAATTAAAAAGTATTGTTTGAATTTAATTTATTGAAGATTTAATTTACTTTAAGCAAAGAAATTTTTAAGATTTAGATGAATACCTTTTTTAATCGAAAAATGTTAAATTAATCAAAATTAATGAAAATTAAATATCATTACTAAAAACTATTTTATTACCAAATGTCTTTCAATTCGAATTGCATCAGAAAAGGTGAGTATGAAATATACATATGTTACGCCCTACAAAACATCAACTCACTGCAATTTTTCGTATACAATGTTTAAATGTCATCGTTTTTTCCGAAAGCAATCACATGCACGCCACACTCACCGACTCCGAAAGCGTTCTCCCTGTTTTAATCCTTTCCTTTTTTTGAAAAAAAGCAAAGTGGAATGCACTCGCGCTCGCTCGAACGGCGGCACGGTGGAACACACTTCCGCGTTTCCGGTCCTCAACCTCGCGAAGGCAAGGAACCAATCTTCGGAGGAAAATGCGCCGGAGGAATAAGCAACGGTGACAGTGACAACAGTGTCGATAAGCTTCGACACGAAGCTCAATCGTGGACCTCTACGTAGACGTGCGGTGTCTCGTGTAAAAATGACGACGACGTTCTCTCCCGCCGGAACGGCCGCCGGCGGTACAAGGGCGTCGAAGGTCGCAGCTGCGCGTCGCGGCACGCAGGTGCGTCACTGATGTCTCTCTCCCTCCCGCTTTTCCGCACATTCGGTAGCGCGCGCGATTCATAAATTAGTTGTGCGCGACGCGACGCGACGCGACGCGACGCGACGTTCGCGTCATTAATGAAAATGATGTGTCGCTAAACCGCGTGAAGATAAGGATGCGCTGCTGAAAGATAAAGAGACGAGAGAGAGAGAGAAAAAAAAATCACTCCGCTCTTCTCAATCAACTGCGTTTTTCTACATTTACTGCCATTAGAAGAAATAGATTCTATATTTTTTCGAAATGAGAATATATCAAATCCTTAACAAGTATTATAAGGTACGTAAATAACAACTAGATATGATATCTTAGGCATAAAGTAATACCGGTGTATATCATTTTTTGATAACAATTAATTTTTTTAGACTCTCAATCTAAATCTTGAAGTGTCAATAATTTTCCGGCTATAAAATATTTCAAAGAATTTTGAATTTGCACATAAAATTTATAATCTTGAAAAATCACTTGGAAAATTTTTTTTTTTATTAAAAACAACGCAATGTTACTTGCAATAATACTGGATTATTTATGCGCAAAGAAAATATGTGCATGTGAAACAGGCTGCGCTACATTGCGCTACGTCAATTAATCCATATTCAAAAGGAATTTATAAATCCAAATATACATCGTCACAGATGCCTTCGGGGGATACATGCGATTAGTGATAATGACATATCAATCTATCACGTTGTTGAGTCGGTACAAGGCAATTTAGACTCCATGCCGATCATGAGGAAGCGATTCGACGAAACACCGGACCATCTGCGACAGATAATGCGCTCCAGCGATCTGCGTCGAGAACGTGATGCTGCATTTGGTTCAACTCATTGAACGTCGGAGATCCGCCAGGGTGATCACCGGCTGGCATACGTTCCTGCCAGAATCGCAAGATTCGCCACGAGAGGCGCAGCGTCGCGACGCTCGCCTTCCTCGTTCTCTTGTACGGTGCTGCAGATTATGCCGCATTGCCGCAAACGCTCGTCATCGACGCGACCCGAGGGTCGTAGCGGCAGCGGCAGCGACAACGATACAAGATACGGAATGTCGGGGCGAGACACGGTGTCGTTGCGAGAAACGACGAGGATCGCGAGGCCGGGTCGTAGATGAGATTGAAGGAAAGAAACAGAAATAAAAATTCAAAAAAAAAAAAAAGAGAAAAAAGAAAAAAGTAAAGAGCAAAAACGGAGAAGACTGCTCACCTTGATCGCCGTCAGGAACCTGACGATCGGCAGCACGATCATGAACATCCGTCGGCTGCCCGGCTTCATGTACCACTACAAATTCGCGACGACCCTCCTGGTGTCCAGTCTGTTTTTCGTCGTTTATCTGCTGCTACATTGGGGGATAATGTGCACGAACCTCGAGGCCTGGCGGCACGTATCCACTGTGGTGAGTTTCACTGCGTGTTGCTCCGATCGGGACAACGTGCGCGATATCCGCTCCGCGCGATGCCGATCACGGCGAGGAAGAGAAAGAGTTGGCACGAATAAGGGGTGAATACGTCGAGGTAGTGAACGTGTGCGAGTGAATCCTGCGCCGGGGCGAAAAGGGGTGAGAGAGCGTGGCGGACGCACGCGTACTCCGCCCGCAGCCTCCGGAACAGAAGAGGCATCCTGATCCGCGCGGCGAATTCGTATAAGTGTCATTCGTATAAGATCTCCAAAGGGAGATATTTAACAGTGAACATTTTTAATTCGCCGATTCTCTCATATGACGTATGAACGCTTTGAACGAGAATACATAACGACCGCGCATCTCCCGATAAATCTCTTACTGTCCGCGAGAGAATTCAAATATGATCGGCCGGCGAACAAAAGTTCAGTACAAAGATCGGTCGAAACATAATTTACATTCGCAGAGGTCGCTGATAAAACGAGCTGCTGTGATAAAGATTGTAAAATTGTTACATGATTCACTGATAAACTTATCACACGGAGGAGAAACGTTCCGTGAACTTGGCCCGAAACTGAAAAGTTCAGCTTAAAAATTGGCTAAGAGATAACGTGTCTTGGAAAAAATTTTCTTACAATCCGATTTACTACACGTAACTTTGACCAGTTGATTTATCGATAAGCATAGAAGTTTATTTACCTGTAAAAAATTGACCTATAAATTCGAATTGCTACGGCGTGATAATCTGGCGAGTTTACGTCCTAGTAACCCAAATGTGGTTCCAGATATCGATTCCCATGAAATATTCCTAATTTTGTGAAAATTGAACCACACTTGAATAGGACATTTTTAAAATATTCTAAAATATTTTGAAATTTACCGCTTAACAAAATTTCTTTTAATTCCTATTAAATAATGTCAACTATAAAAGTTATTAAAATTACAATTTATTTTATCTAATTTTAATTACACATATATAAACAGGACTGCTTCAAAACTTATCAAAAGAATAAATTTATAAAAACATTAAAAAAATATATGTACATGGGGCGTAATATTAGAGCTTATTGAATTATAAAAAAAAAAATAAAATTATTACGCAAGTTATAAATTTTTATTGCAGTATACTAAATATTTAGTTTTAGATTAAAAAAATTATTACACAATTATTGTAAACAGTTTCTAGATTTGTTTATAATTCGTGTAATAAAGTCTTTTGAAAGATTTTTTAATGAGTGCAATTGTAGGAAGATTTTGAGTTAGAAAGATGTAATGAGGTCTAATTCTAATGTCGATGAAGTCTTACAAGACTTAATCCTATATGTCACTGGTCATTACATTTCAACAGTCGTAGCATAGAATTAAGAGAAAAATCGCTTACGTAATACTTGACCGACACGCAAGACCGTGTGTGAGACAAGAGCGATAACATATAACATCTAACATTTTTCCAAGCTTGACTATGTACGTTAAAAGTTTTCAAAAAGTTAAAAAATCTTATCATACCATTCTAAAAAGTTTCTATTGTTATCTATAGTTAAAATATATTATACTTGTGAAATAAGGTCGAGAAGTCGTGTATATTTCCATATAAATGACCATCTCAAACTAATAAAACTAAGCTAAACGAAACAGATTACATACAATATAATTAAACAAAATTTCAATATAATAATATAAAATATCTCTATTACGGTGAGAAAGCTGTCGTTTCTATTGACGAAAAGAAGAAAGTAAATGCACTTTTTTTTCTAATAGTAACGCATGTCGCACCTGATTTCTGCCACCACAACTTTACATCAAATAATTTGTCCGCTTTTGACGTAGTTCCGTTATTTCTTCTCTATCGCTTCTTCGTTTTTCTAGGGGGGGAAAAAAAAAAAAAAAAGGAAATCTCACGATAATACACAATTATTGTAAACGATTCTAGATTTTTTTTTTATAATTCGTGTAATAAAGTCTTTTGAAAGATCTTTTAATGAGTGCAATTGTAAAAGTCCAACTGAAATCTTTCTACAGATTTTAAGTTGGATTTTAAGTTAAGGCTTTTGTTTACCGGCAAAACACGGTAATACAACGGCAACAAGAGTATATAACGTACAACAAATCCCTCGAAAACGTTTTTTTTTTTCGACGCAAAATATTTTCGCCCCTTCGAATGCGCGGAATGCGCAGACACGCGCGACATGCTTGTACGAGAGCCGCGAACTCGTGCCGTCCCCTCCCGAGACCGTTCCCTCATCGTGGGGCCGATTGGGCTGACTAAAAATATCGCACGAACAACGAGTCCATGCAACGTTACGACACGTTATGCCACATGCACGCGCGCAAAAGCGTATGTGGTTCGCACGAATATCGGCGCCCACGCGCGCAAAAGCCCCATGCTCTTTTATCGCTCTCGATTCTCTCGGCGACTCTGACAGCGCGTGGCGCAAGGAAACCGTCCGCTGAAATAAATGCTAAAATGTCCGTTTGGATTAACCTTCAATCTTTTCGGCGAAATTTGTTTACATTTATTTGTAGATGAAAGTAAAATTTACTCTGAGAGAAAAAAAAAAGAGGTTTAATTTTCACCGATTAAAATCGCTAACTTGATTTTAATATATACTTTTTCTTCTTAGCCACATCCTCTGCGCTCTTTTGAAGAGAGTTTTCAAGTTGATTTTTATTTAAAATATAAATTATGGAAAATAATGGAAAAAATAATTCAGGTTCAAAAAAAGTTACAACGGATGATTATGATTACGATGTATTAATTTTTTAGAAAAATAATTATTTGACTAGTATTTAAAGTGTAAGAAGTTTTATTTTATACACAGGCTAACGTAATTTCGCATTATTACATATATTTCTCATTTTCTTTTCAGATTTCAGAGAACATTTTCTAATCCGATGAACTTGAGAGATCCTTGCATGTGTTCGATTCGCGCAATGTCCAGTCATATAATTTTCATTTCAGTGCAGTCAGCATCGGGATGGGGCCGCGATGGGAATTCTCTGCGAACCACTGTGCAACGAAAAGGGAATACACTCGCTAGCATGCGAGACGCTTCACGCAGGCAAGGAGGCCGTTTTCTCCGCGCATTGGGAAGCGACCCGACTTGTATTTAAAGCTTCGAGGTATTTCCTCGATTATTCTATCTGCGAGATGGATAAAAAATTATTTCTAATTTTTCCAATTTCTTCTTCTCTTTTGTTTTATTTTAAAAAAATTTGAAAAAC